CACACCTTGAACTTCTATTGATCTGAGGACTTTGTATTGATTTTTTTTCATTTACCATTTACCAGACACTTATCCTAACCATTTACCAGTAACTTTCTAACCTTAGACAAAATCTAATTTACACAAGAGGGCACTGTGGTACCAAATTCAAGGTGAGCAGTGGGTGACTGCTCTTTTTTTTTCTTGTAGATCCTGGACTTTTTAAATGTAAATTTAAAACATTTTCCTTCAAACAGCTTTTAATAGTAGAGCTGTGATGCTCTGACACTCGCACACATTTTGTAGGCACTCTTTATTTCATTGCATGTTTTCAAAATGATTTTTTTATTCTGTTGTTTTCTTCTTTGTGTGTTTGATTATTTCTGTTTTAATTTTGCTGACTTTGTTCATCTGTTGGATGTTGCAAAGCGCTATATAAATAAAGATTGATGGATTTATATTATCCTAATTTTCAGAGAAACTGAATTTCGGGGTTTTAATTGACTTTAAGTCAAAACAATCAGAGTTAACAGAAATAAACAAACAAAACATGTCAAGGCGCCACTGTGTATGTAACGAATTTATCTATTTTAATATACAAAATACATTAACATTTCATTGATATTACAAAGTCCTGTGTAATTCTCCATACAGTCGACTTATGTTACATTGCTTCCACAAGGTGGCGCTAAGCTCATAAATTAGTAATTTTTTCCCCTCATGTGAACAGTATACTACCTTTTTTATTTAAAATATTTACAGAGGAGTTCAAAAGGTGACTTTATTGTCAATATGTGATTTAAAAAAATAAACATAGTTCAAAACATATTTTATATTAAAGCCAAACATATTTAGTTGAACTGAGATCACATGTAAGTGGAATTTGTAAAATTGTTTCCTTTAAAATCTGAGTGAATATATATTACATGTAAGCTTCGCCCATCCGCCTCCTCAAAGTAGGTAACACAATTATTTGCACCCTCTCCTATTATTCAGAAACAGACTAACACTGTAAAACAGGCACATTCACAATTAAATAATATTCTGCCCACCTTCAATGAAAGGGTTAGGATTAGTTAATTCAAAGCAAAGCAAATTGTCTTTTATTTTCTAAAATATTTTAAATATGCATTTTAACGCTATTTGTTTTACAAGCCTGTTAAAACAAAATTAATGTACCATGTTCAGATGGAGAGTAAATCACTCATTCATTTTACACAATAAAACTATTATTTAGTTCTAACATAATTTATTGCTGATTAGTAGAATATTTGTTAATGAAATTACATAATGTCTGTTTTTAATGCCAGGACACTTGTTAAATAAAGAAACAAATTCAGCTTGACGGTGTGGAACAGGAAGGGCCTGGAAGGGAGACTAAGCTTATATTATCATAATTATTTTAAGTCTTTATGCAGTACAGTAAAGCAGAACATTTAATAACTTCAGTCAAAGGAACCTTTATTGTTTTCATAACTTTATTTTCCACACTTTAGATATATTTTATTTATGTTATTACAGGAGAGTTCAGGAAATTGAAGGGAATTACTTAGTACCAGCCTTATTAACTTGCATCCTTAAGAAAACTTAAAAAACAAACAAACAAACAAACAAAAAAAAAACTTTAAAATGAATGTAGCACTCACCTATTTGCTCTATCTTGCTTATCACAGGGTTAGTGCCTATCTCAGTGGTGAATGGATGAGAGACGGCACATACTCAGTAAGTAGTTCATTACAGGGTAGCACACACACACACACACACACACACACAAGGAATTTTATTCCCAGCAAAAAGCTTTTCCTTATGAAAGTATTTGTTGTTAAATGCAACATAGCAGACGGGTCAGTAATAGGGCTTTAAAATATTGTTTTAGCTGCAAACTAATTCCACTTCAACCAAATTTTAGGCCAACCCCAAAACAAGCTAGGAAAACTGATTAATCAAATCACCATCTGAATCAACAGAAGGGTGTTTCTGCTCATTATGTTGTGTCAGTGTCTTTATGTGAGATGCCTTTTATTTTTTTTAACTGTTTTAAATTTCTTCTAAAAATGTTTTCAGTTGATTTTCTTCTCAACTGTTTACTTGATATGAATTTAAAACAGATTTTTAACTTAGACTCGAGTAATTTGAAAATGTGTTTCAACTTTGAAAATGAAAAAATAAAACAAAATGCTTCTATTGCCTACTACACAGTATTGCAGCTGCAGGCCTTTTATTTGCAGCAGAAAGTTTCTGCTGCAAACTTTCTTCAGCCCAAGAATATTCATGTTCAGCCCAAGAATATTCATGTTATGTTAACTGACCTCTCTAAAAATCTCTTCAGAGTAATATGAGCATGCATGGTTGTTTGACTGTGTTTGTGTGTGTGTGTGTGTGTGTGTGCGTGCGTGTGCGTGTGTGTGTATGTGTGTGTGTGTATGTGTGCGTGCGTGTGTGGAAAGTCTGTGGGAGTTATTGTAGGCTTCCCCCTTACAGCAGAAGTCTAAAGACCTGCCCACACACTCGGGATCCCGCCTTTCTTCCTACCAGGACTTCCAGCTGAAGTCTCTCAGAAAACAGCCAGCAAGGCAGAAACCATAGATGAAAAGGACAACAGAACAGCGGCAGGAGAACAAAGACTGCAGGAGAGTGAGGGCAATGAAAAAAAAAGAAAGAACGTGTGTGATAGGGAAAGTGTGAAGAGGATAAGGATGCAAAAAGTGTGTCGGTGTGACCAGCTTGGAGCGGGGAATAGGAGCACTCCTACACTCACATTCCTCTGTATTATAGAGAAGTCAACAAGAATGACAGTGGAGACCCAGACATCCTTGACAGCTGCAAAGTGAGCAAGAAAGGCAGAGATACCTGCCAGAGGAGGATCTGTGTGGGAAGTGATGCTTCCGTGGGAAACTGGAGCTCACTGCTCTCTGCTCTTTAGGTCTGGATTTGTTCTGAGGCCCTTCATACAAAATAGTAGAAAAGGTTATGTAACAACACTTTCAATTTACCCTAATATTTTATCAATAAATGAAGAGAAGGAATGAAAGCTCCCATTTTTAAGTGGATCTTCATAAACCCTTTAGAGCTCATATACTGGGGCATGTGCAGCGCAATGGCGGCTGTGGTTCCAACATCTACCCTCTCCCCAGAGCGTTGCTGGTTCCCCTGTAAAGAACACAAGAGAACCATAACTCATAGTTTTAAAGAGTCAAATTTATTACCAGATAAATATGGAGACAAAGATTGGGGAAAAGGGGAGAAAGACTGCAGTACTAAACTAGTCAGATGTAAACACAATTGAAAGTGGTGGTAAAGGAGAATATCTTACAAAGAATATACTGATGTTGATTTGTACAGGGCTGTAGAGGCAGAGGCGCAAAAAGTGGGTATGCAGCGTATGCAACGCATAGGGGCGCAGCACCAGAGGGGGCGCCAAAACCCCGTCTGGAGGGGGCGATGCGCCGATTATGTTTTCCCATACAGTTTAGCGCACCTCACGCTCCTTCACCTCTCGCACATAACGAGGTACATGTAGCGAGTTTTACACTCCACGTAGCGTCGCCTCGTGGGGGTAGGGGGGGGTTGAGCGTCGGTCCTTCACCCTGAAGTTCCTTCCCTTGGGGGGGGGGGGGGGGGGGGTTTTTTTTTTTGCCTCCCCCCTAAAAATGTGCCGTTGGCCCCCCG